GAGCACTTGCGCAGAACAACTTGCGCAGAGTACTTGCGTGCAGCAGCTTGCAGAGAGCAACTTGCGCGCAGCAGCCTGGAACAACGCAGCTTGCGCAGACCACTTTCGTGAGAAATCGCGCGGCGCAGTTCGAGAGGAAACTAGGATGATGAGATGGAGCTCTCATGTTACCATACGCATTGAGCATCGCCGCGTGCAGACACGCTCGCCGCAGCGATGTAAAAAGGTGTCTCCGCGGCTGGATGAGCGCCTGTGCAAAAATGCTTTCGGGCCAATCGTCCTCTAGTCTTAATAACTGCACAGGTCTCTTAGGTGGTGCAGGAAGTTTTTCCACAGAAGGGGACTAGACACTAGGGTTTCCATCAAGGGTTGAACGTGTTGGTTTGCATCGCACAGGTTGTGAGCCATGAACGCTTTGCGTTCTGAGAGCGCTGTCTGCAGACTGCACTCTCTTGGCCACCAGCTGTCGTCAGGTCCCGTTTCGGCTAAATTTTGCGCATCGCTGTCGCTTGTCGCTGAATAGCTGGTGTACTGGATGCTTTGTGAATGGGACCCGGCTGTGAGTTTCAAGATTTATTTGCCTGGGCCATTGTCAGGCAGCATTGGCTCCTATTGGGGCCTACTCTGCAAGTGCAGAAAAAGGTGCTGGGCATTGATTCACTACATGAGGCATGGTCACTTCAGGGGACTAGTGTTCCATTTTATACTTTGAGCTGCTAGGATGCTGCAGGTCGCACAAGCAGGCGCTTAGCTACATGATCAAGCAATCATGCCTATCTAGCAGCTATCCAGCTTGGCTGTCTGTCTTCGAAGGCATGCTTTTCGTGACCTGCTGAACATCAGCAGCTCTTGAACAGCCCTCGGCCCTGCGTTTGCGAGTTGTGCGGAGTTCACTGGATCCATAGATTGGGGCGTCGAGTGCACTGTCTTCTGCTCAGCAAGGGTTGCCTTGCAATCATCGATTCAATCCACATGCGAGGGGCAACTCAAACGACATCCTCAAACGCTTGCGTAAAGCTCCTTGGTTCCTTCCTTCAGCATGTTGAATGTCCCGGCCACATTGTCCAGCAAAGCGGACAAATCCTGTAGCCGACCTCCTAACTTGCTCTTGGCACTGCTGCATCTCCCCCGGTTGGCAGGAGAGTGGGGAGGAGGAGAAGGTGCGAAAGCCACCGCAGCAGACAGAGGGCCCAGAGGCAGGAGTCAAGCCTTGCCACTCGGAAAACAGAACCTGTTTGTTGCCACCTTCGACTTGGGTTTCTATAAACACCCAACCCAATGCAAGTGGTCTTTGCTGGTGGCCTTTTTTGGGGGCCTTGCGGAAACCCAACAAGCTAAGATTTGCTCGTGTCTCAGACGTGACCTCGGGGCTTTCAGGACATGCTCGCCAGAAGGCTTAAGGTAGCTATTGTGCGCCATCACCGCGATGGAGCTGGTTGTTGAGTGTCTTGGCAAAGGTGGCCTCGAAGTGTTTGGGGAAGGTTGGAAAGCATGTTTATGCTAGTGCAGTACTGGGGGGTGACTTGTTCGACCATCTCAAGCGCGCCACCATTTGACTCTTGCAAGTCCCAATGCTGGTGTCAGATAAATGGACGTGATGTGACTTGCTTGAAACATGTGCGCACTAGAGCCACGCTCAAGGAGTGCTCGCAGCGTCACTCGCGCAAACCATGCGTCATGTTTTAGCACAGTCTTGCGGTCGCCCGTGTGTCAGACGACAAACTATTCTTGATTATTTCAAATTTCCAAATCGGCGTACCCGCAAACAGGCGCAGTAGCCAGTCCTGGCTTTTGCCCCGGCTCTCCTTGTTCTTGTAGGTTTCCCTTTTCAAAGGACGAGGAACTGGACAACAGTTGCTTGGGGTTCCAACTCCCTTCGCGAGCGGGGCCACACCCGTCAGCCGGGCGCGCCCGACCGCATGGCCCGACGGCCGGCGCTGGCCCTGGCGCCGGCGCTGGCGCCGCTGGCGCTCGCCGCGGCCTTCGCTTTTGACGCGTGGTGGGATGTGTCCGAAGCCAACCAAGCGAAGGAAGCCAAGGGAAAGGGTTGGGGGGGGGGGGGGCCTTTCGCTTGCCCTTTTGCACGGTTTTTAGTTTCCCTCGGGCTGATGTTTGAAGAGGCGTGGTTGAAACCGTGGCTCTTGCCGGGCAACGTTTGCGTGTTGGCGTTTGCGATGCCATGGCAAAAAGCGCCATCCATTCCCCAAAAATGCGACGCATGGCATGCCGAAGTCTTCGGTTCAAGACTTGTTGCATGTGTCTTAGTGTGTCTTACGACCACCTGCCACCGGTTATGGCGGAGCTTGTCTTTGAGAATCTCGGCGGAAGAAGGTACCCACGGCGCCGATTTGCTTCCTGAAAATTTGGCTTTCGGTCAGCCCTGAGAAACGGCAGCGCCCTCGGAAGCTCGTGCGGTTGAATGCCCCTACTTTTTGTCCCTGGGCCGCGTCAATCAACATCTGGGACGCGGTATCTAGAACCCCCTCACTTGGTGTTTGCAGACGAACTCCTGAGACGTTTGTTGCACCGCAGCAGCGGTGAGATAGTTCTTGGCCAGGTTCTTGCCCACGACTGTTGCTACCCTCGCTGCAAGCAAAAGTTTGCACGTGCTGCGCGGATTGCAGCAGTGCTACTTCACAATGGCCACGGCGTGTGTCACGCCGCCTCGCCGACCCTCCAGAAGAGTACCGATTGATAGAGGCAGGCAGAAACAGCGCAGACACAGGCAAGAAACAGAAATAGAGACAGAGAGAGAGAGAGAGAGAGAGAGAGAGAGAAAGGGAGAGCGAGAGAGGGAGATTGATATGGCAATTTAGAGACAGAAAGATAAAGAAAAAAAGAGAAAGAGACAAATAAAGTGAAAGAGAAAGAGAATGAGACGCAGACGGAGGCATCGAGGCAGAGATACGGACAAACGAACCGAGAGTCCTTTCGGTCTGAGAGTGACAGAGATGAGAGAGAGAGAGAGAGAGAAAAAGCAAACGAACAGAAATAACAAATATGGGCGAGACAATCTGGTTTTGAACAGAGACAGGGCCGCAGCCTGGTCACACATACAAATGGGTGTGTTGGTTTAGTGGGAAACGAAAAGGAAACGCGCCATTTGTTGGGTCTCCTTATTTTGAGTCACATACCCAAATGAGCCTGTACCCTTTTTTGAACAGAAGTGGACGTTTGGGCCTTAAGGGGATGGTCTTAAACCCATGTGGTCCACCTTTTGACGTTGTGTGAGCAACGGAGCCTTTTATTGGTAGTCTAGTGTCTGTTTAGGGAGCACATGCGTTTTCTTGTCTGACGAGTGAATGATACGACAGAAGGCCTATACCAAAGCGTGGAAACCCAATGGCCTACGCCGAAGCTGCTTGTTTCCTAGCGCCATTGTTTGTGCAGAGCCTTACGACATGCAAAGACAGACACTGCAGATGTCTTGCTTGTGCGAGCAGTCTGCATGAGCATTCTTTGAGCATTCTTTGCAGGCAGACACCTGCGCTGTGTGTTTCGCAAGTGTGGTCTTGCTCATGGAGTCTTTTTTCGCGACTTTTTCGTGCTCTGTTTTCTTCCCGCTTCCTTTGCGGACTTTCTTTGCGCGGTTTCTCTCTGCAATGGCTCTGCAATGGCTCTTCGCTGTGCAAGCTCTCTGTGCAATCTCTGTGTGCACCTACTTCCTTGTGCGGCGTATTGCTGCGCCACCTCCCTTTGCGGGCGTTGTGCACTTTCTCGCATTCCCTCTGTGCAACCTCCTCTTCGCTTTTTGCCTTTTCACCCGTACGAGTTTTGCTACTTTTGCTACTTTTGCTGCTTGCGCTGGCCTGGAAAGTTGTAGAGTTGTTTGCGCGACTGCTCTTGTAGTTGCGCGGCTGCAGTCTTGATCCCCGCTGGGTCCGCGTGAATGAAAGTCGCAACATTTAAGTGCAAAAGTAGTACGCAAAGCGCATTCCCGCAGTTCCGACTAGAAAATCACAACGTTTAAGTGCACAAGTAGTACACGAAGTGCATTCCCGCCAAGAATCGCAACTTGCGCAAAGACACTTACATGGAGAACTCCAGAGAGTGACGTGTAGACTTTCGCAGAGCAACTTCTGCAGAGCGCTTGCGCGAAGACACTTGCGCAGAGACACTTGTGCAAAGTGACTCGCGCAGAGCAACTTGCGCGAAGCACCTTGTGCAGAGCGCTCAGAAGAGCTACCCGCCCAGAGAAGTTGCGCAGAGCAAGTGCGCTGGGCAATAATGTGCGTGTGGCGACTCGCGGGCCGCATCCTACATCGCGACACTCCGTCTACTTGCGCCGTGATGAAAATCATGCTTCCGGGCCAAGCGTCCCCTACCATCGCGGAAGAAGACGGCTACAGCGGACCGGGTCGCGCAGATCTTGCAGCAAGTGCAGCAGCTGTAGCAGGTGCCGATGGAGAACGCAGGTGGAAGTGCAGAAGCTGCTGGGAGAAGATGAACAAGAAGGGCCTCGGCAAGCCGATTGGACCTTAGGAGGACGCGCAGGAGATAGGAGGACACCAAGAGCGCGCGCCCTCTCCTCAAAATGCCGCTTCTGCGGAGAAGGCGAGCGGTCGCTGAGCGGCCGGAGGAGAGCAGAAGTCTCTGGCGCGCGTCTGTGCCCTAGCCGGCAGCGCAGTGTGAAAAAGGGCGTCCAGAAATCGGTCTAATCACAAAAACCAGAGCGACACAGGGCCCCAACTGCTTGAGATATGACATTATGATCTCGCGCTCAAAACTTTCTTACTCTACCTCCTTGGTCACTGACTCGCCTTGGGAAATGCTGCTCTTGAACTGAACTTAGCTGGAACCGTTCGTGGAGGTTGCCTTGAGAAGTCCTGTTAGGTTTAACTAACCTTGTTGATGGGGGAGGCAGTTAGTGACTGCGGTCTCTCTGACAACAATGCTCTGAAACTGGCGCCTTTGTCCTCGCCCAGGTTCTTTGCGGCCACTGTTGGTGCACGCTGCCACGGAGGGCCGGTGTTCATTCGAAGTCTTCTCGGTGCTTGGCGTTGCAGCATGTGGTCTTACGGGGAACTGCCGAAAAGGGGACAATGTTCAGTTGCGGAGTAGGTTTGCTCACGTTGTTTGTGTTGATTTCCTCGCTTGGCAGCGCGCATGCAACTCCAGCCAGTGTCCAACTTATGCCTTACGCAACTCATCAAACTCAGGCGCCCTGTGCCTGTGATGGGTCAGTGCTCTATGCCTTGTGGCATGAGAGGAATATCTCTGTTGCGAATGTCCACTTTTTTCAGGCTGATCAACCAGACTGGCAACCTGCGGTGACAGCCCAACTGTGTTTCACAAGTTCAACTCGTTTGCACGGACTGGGTGATTTGGAACTTTTTTCTGACATTCGGCCTGAATCTTGGCCAGGAGAACTCCTGCCATTCGCAGAAAAGCATGCGACAGGCCTGGTGCCGGAGGTTCTGTTCTAGCTTGGCGCGATCTATGCGGGAATCGTTTTGGGGTTCTTCAGCTTGGACGTGGCTGAAATGCTGGAAAACGTCCACTGGCCTTTGCACAAAGGGTTCGACCCGATGCGTGAGGGAGCCGGCGCCTGCGGAGTGGAAGTGCGTGGCTGGGTGTGGCGCCTGCTGCCTGCTGGGAACCGAGGAGGCGAGACAGGTTGACAAACAACTGCCTAAGTGGTTGGTGGGCATGAATTTCCATGTCCTTGCAGGGTCCCGTGTTGAGGGCTGGCATGATTGGGCTTTTTCTTCTTCAAAAACGATGCCGGGATACGCGAAATTTAGTTCTGGCTTGAAACCACTGAGAGGGCATTTTTGAGGTTGTTATTGTAGCGGAACTCCAGATTAGCATGGAAGCCAAAAAGGTGGGGTGCCCCCAAAAGAAACTTCCTCTAACCGTGGGGAATCTTTTGGGTGGAACTTCAATTTGTTTGGAACATATTGTCGGATTTGAAGGCATTTTTGTGGCTCTGGAACGGGGACTGAGAGATGTGGTGGGCATATGTAATAGCAGACCACCGAAATGGTTGGTTCCCTTCTTGTTTCCCTTCCAACCACCTGGAAAGAAGTACCCTCACCAACCACCAACATTAAGAAGTGTGACGGTGTAGGGAAGGCGTGCACCGTTTTTTGTTTTGTCTACGTGAGTCACTTGAAGAATAAGCGTCTACGTGAGTCACTTGAAAAATAAAGGTCTTCCTCCATGCCGCTCAGACCATGCAGTATTTGAGTGCCCTTTGAGTGTGATGTCGAAGCCTTCCCTTTCCTTGTTGAGCTTTCAAGCTACGTTCCCCCCCAACAAATCCGACCCAAACACATCACTCAAGGAAACTCGCCAAAGAGGGGGGCTCAAAAGGTGTTTATGATTATTGTCTCCATTTGCCACCCTCCGCAAAAAGGACGACACAATTGCAACTCTTTCTGGAGTTCACCGCGTGAACATTTCCCCACAAGGGCAATCAAAAGGTGGACGCCCGCGGCCAAGCTTCAGGAGAGGCCTTTTTTGAAGGACCTGCTGAGCGAAGAGCAGCTCAGGAGCGAGACGTCGCGCATAGGGGCGACGGAGGGAGATTTTGAGAACTGTTGGTCTTGGTCTGGAAAGAATGAGAAGGACCCGTGCCCCAAACTCTGCACTTCCCCAGAATTAGTTTCCCATTTTTTTTTTGCTTTTTTGGGATCCCCTTTGTTTCCCACTAACCAGGCAAAAAATGATACCAGGCAGAAAATGATATTTTTTTGCTGGGGTCCTAGTTCCAGCCAAGTGCAAACAAACCCAATTTTCTTTTCTCCTCTGGAAGCCTTTGTAGAGCTCGATTCCCGCGAGGATCTTCCGGACCCTGCCGGGTGCGGCTTGGTAGCGAATGAGCGCGAGCAAAAAAGAAGCCAGCGCTTGGCTCCCGGGCAGTTTGGCTGAGCTTGATGGGCGGTGACGATGACATCACCTACCAGCAGAAAGTTTGTCAAAATTGGGGGTCTCTTTTTCGGTCTTGTTTTAGAAAGACTCAGCGCCACTCGGCCCCAAAGTCGAATAGGGGCCAGTTTATGAGTTGTAGGCCGTAGTCCATCCCAGGAAGATGGCTGGTGCAAGCACTTTGACTTCAACCAGCGCACCTGCAGCATCTACGACGAGCGTCCCGACTTTTGCCGCGTAAAGACGCTCCTTGGACCAGCTTGGTTTTCGGGGAAGCCTTCGGGCGTTTGCCAAGCCAAGCGGTTTGATTGTTGAAACATGGCGGCTGCAGGTGGAAGAGCAAGCGAATCTAGAGTGTCGATTTCGTTGGAAAGGAGCAGGGACAGCTCCCAGAGGTCATCTTCCCCACATCTTGGCCGTGACATGCCAAGGACTGCGTGACAGCCATTGTTAGTTCAGAAGTTTCTTGAAGCTGGGATTCCTGCCTCAAAGGATTTCAAAGCCCGACAATTCGTTCCACTGAGCGCGACGTGACTGACTTCTACAAGGCGGTCTTTGGCCTTGTTTGCTTTGTTTGTTTGCGCTGGCTAGGTTGGCCGTGTTTGCCTGTCTCCGTGTTTGCCTGGCTGATGGTATTTGTTTGTGTGCATCTCTCTGTACCTCTCCGTAGCTGCCTGCCGCTGCGAGTTGATCAAACGGTCCTTGTGAGCCGTTGTGCCGTTGGTGACTGGTGTTTGGCTGAGTGCCTCCGTGAAAGATCCGCAAGGACGATTCCGTGTTTTTGCCGCGACTTCCCCGCTCTTCCAGTACAATTGTGGTACCCGGATTTTGTTTTGCACTGACCCCCTCTCAAAGCCACATCAACCGCGCTGTTCAGAGAGAGTGTTGAGAAGCACCCTGCTTTCCCAGGTTCCTTTGTTCCAAGGCCGCCTTTTTCGACGTGGTCGCGGCCTGAGACTCTGATGGCCTCTCCACCTCAATTCAACTCTGTCTGGAGTCGGCAAAGTTTGTTTCGACAACCAGAAGTGTTCAATTCAAAGGAGAGCCAAAAGGAGATTGTTGAAACAGGTGGTTGGCACGTGCTTAATCATGGGGTTGGATCATCCAGCCCTGCCATGTAGGATGAATGTTCGGTTCAGTCAGACGGAAGCAGGCAGAAACAGGATGAAGGGGCTAGTTTGATTGCACCCTCCGTAATTGTGTGTTTGTTTTGGTTAAGTGAAGGTGAAGCCAGCTGATACAAACCTTGTTCCATGTTCTGCATCTTGCGACCCCTGTAGCCTCCCTGAACTACCTTGAGGCAGTTCATGGTTGGGTGCTCTGCCACCTCCGTGTTGCTAGGCCGGCAAGAGTCCCTATTTTGGAAGTCATGGAAATCTGCAGTAGCCCAGGAAAGTTTTACAAACTCTTGCAACGAGCTGTTGCTTTGACCATTCCTGGCAAGCAGCAATCAGTATCTGTTTTTCCCACATCGCGCAATCCCATTTGCAGAGGCAGCTATAGGCTAGACAAAGCGCTAACGGAGGTCAACAACAACTTTGAATCATGTTAAACAAAATACCCAGGTCAAAAAAAGACCATGGACAGGTCGGAAAAAAACACCATCCCCAGCGCTAGCCGCTCCGGACATGGACGTTCGGGCATCCGGTCGAGGATGGTAGTGACGCAGATGCCCTTGGTGGCTTTTGCGCTGACACCTGCCGCCAAAGCATCGCCGACGTCTACGGGCATGACTCGGAGGAGCGGTGCGAAATCCCAAAATCCCGCGGCGCCTGGCTTAATGGAGACTAGGGCTACAGCCTCCTCCATGGCCAAAGAACCAAAGGCGCTGCTCCAAACTTACTTCGAGGTGCCTTGGATTTTGACGAGTTTGGTATTACCCTTCCACCAAAAATGGTTCTGGGACAAGGAGACACACATGTCCTTTGCCTGGAACATCACAGGATCCTTCATACCATGTCAGCTTCCGGGATGACTGCGGGAAAACGGAGAAAACGAGCCCGCAAACAGGGCCACACAATTGTCCACACTGGCATTCTAGCTACCTTGATCCAAGCAGCCTGCTCAGTACGATCCAATGGTTGCGCATCGCTTCTTTTATTGTTATATGGGGGTTCCACACGCGCGTGCACGTACAAAGTGGCACCCACGTGATGGCCTGTTTTTCTTTGCGTGGACTGAAAAGGGCGAGGCGGAACCCACACACTGCTGGAGAATGTCGCTGAGGCGGAACAGCTTGATGTGATTCAGCCAAAACCTACGAGATACTCATTGAACACCAAGCCCTTGCGTTTACAAGTCCATTTTGCCAGACCAATTTCGGCCCATGGCCACGAGAGGGCGGAGGTGCTGTACCGGGCCTGCTTTTTGGAAAAGAGTCCCCAATTCACCGCCTGAAATATCATCGAACTATGTCTCCAAAAAAAACATATGTTACAAGCAAGATTAAACAAACTAGGGTGAGCCTCGGATATCATGGCAAGGAGATGGAGCGCTTCAATGTGGAGGTTCCAATCTGGAGTGCAGACGAGCTTGAGGAGCTCGGATGTTAAGGGTTTCCCTTTGTCCCTGTCCTTTGGCTGCCCCGAGGTCTCCTTGGCTTCGTGTCTGTGGGTTTGCCTTTCGCATATTCGCTTCCCTATAGCCAACCGGATTTTTCCCCGGTGCCCGTGAGCCTGAGTTATGCTTCATGAGAAGGCTCCTTACTTGGGGATTCCTGCCGGCTGCAAGGCTTTTTGTCAGCTTAGCATCCGGTTCAGTGGGACACGTGCCTTGCGGGAAGAGGAATGCTGAAGGTATTGGCATTTACTCTTGCTCTCTGGGCCACTTACCCATATCACCAGGATGAAACTTTTCTGTCCCGAGATTGTGGCTTTTTCGCCAATATTGCCAAAGATATTGGCAAACTCCTGCATGAAGGGACCGTGGAAGCTGGTAAGCATGGCCTTGCAGCATGGCCTTGCCGCATGCAGGATGGAGGTGGCGTGCCTGAGGGATGGCACGCGCTGGACTCTGAGGAGCAGGACCAATCTGAATGTTGACATCGATTTGTTTGTGGAAGTTCAGCCGGGGAACACCACGTCCGCTGCGACAGTGTTTTCAGAATGCAGGTGGAACGTGGCCTGTCGCGGGTGAAAGCAGGCAAAGGGTCGCTTGGATTTGACGCCGCACCAAAGATCAGATCACGGACCTTCGCGCCGCACTGCATGGCCTGTTACAGACGGCAAATTTTGCTTTGAGTGCATGGTTGTATCTTCCGCGTGGAATGTGCCAGGACGAGAATGGCCTACAGGGGAACCGCGACGACCCGTAGGGCGGAGCGGAGCTCGTTACGCTCGTTTCAACGAGTCCGGGACGAAAAGATCAACGCGGCCATGAGAGACGTGCACGCGTTTGCGCCGAAAGAAGAACATGGTGTGTCGAGGGAAAGGGCTTCCCCTCAGTATTTTGGGGGTCTACGGTCTATGCAGTTTGCTTCCAGATGCTAGCTTTCTGAATCTTGAGGTTTTCCGGGTCGAGGCTTAAGGCAGAGACTCCTGACAGGCCGATCGCCTTCTGGAAGCCTTCCGCAGATATGATGTGGAGGAGACAGGCCGAGGGCTGAAAATTCGCGCGCGGCACGCGTAGTCTTGCTGGTGCGGCAGGCAGGGAACCCCTGTAAACCAGCCGCTATGGGTTCCTTCAAGGGAACCTCCAGGTTCATTTTCTCATTCCCTGAGCACCAGCAAGTAGTGGCATGCATCTTGATGTGTCACTCTTTGGCCGGGAGGTTGCGGGCATTGGGGGGAACCTTGCTATGTTTCTTGCATGATGTCTGCCTGTAAATCAAGGACATACGGACTGATTTAATAAATTGGGTGGCTGTTAGAACATGCTGCAAGCACCAGGACTCTGACCATGCAAGGTGAGCCACCTATTGGGCACGGAGTTTGTTTCTGCGGACCACAGTTGCTCCGTTCTGCTCGTTAGGACGCCAGTCAATTCTGAAGTAGGGCCATTTCTTTTTCATTTTTTTCTTGAGTTTTATGCTTGTTTTCAGGGTGCGAAATGAAAGGACACAAACGCCACAGCATAAACTCACGTAAAAGCCACAAAAGCCAAAAAGCCGAAAAGCCACCCATCCTCTGCATTCACAGTTCCTCTCTGTTGGGCCTTTGCGGCTTTTTGTTTGGTTCATGCGGCTTTTGCGGCTTTGGCTTTTCGCATCTGCTTTCCCAGTTGGTTTTTGGCCTTGGCTTCGTCCATCCTCAGCATCGCCAGTTCCTCTCTGGACAGCTACTTTTTAGATTCTTTGCCCCTAATTGAATCATCACTTTTTTGATCATCATGGCGGGGGCTGCCGCCCCCCCAACCCCCGCTACTTTTTGGACTTTTGGCAGAGATAAAGATGCGCCCCTAATTGAATCATCACTGTTTCAATCATCATGGGGGAGGCTGCCGCCCCCCAACCCCCGCGCCACTTTTTGGACTTTTGGCAGAGATTGAAGGGGCTGCTTTTTAACATGCATACATAAATGCCTACCTACCTTGCCGGAGAGGAACTGATGATGCTGAGGATGTAGGAAGCCAAGGCCCTCGATTTGCTGGCGATGCTGGCTATGTTGGCTGGACATGCGGGGGATGTTGAAAACGATGCTGATGATGTTGACGGGCTGATGGAACATACGTACATATCGTGAGACAAAGCTGTAAAATGCAGCATTTTACTAGCCAGACGGAAAACAACAAAAAAAAACACACAAGATTGTAACAAAAAAAAAACTCGACCCTTTCTTACCCTTTCAGAATTTCAGGCTATTGGTGTCCTTGGATGTCCCATAGAACCATCCAACAAGATCCCCCTATCCTTTTTGCGAGCCACCGTTGCACCCGAACACCCGGCCCAGGGGAGCTGCACATGCGGGACGTTCGATCCTGCCTGGCAGACATTGGGGTTCAGCCCACCCTGCCACAGGACGCTGGAGGGCTGCGTGAGGTATTTTTGACAAACAGTTTTAGAGTCAGGCAAGCCTCAGTTTCAGGTACCCCTTATTTCGTGGTTTGGACTGGCAGTTTGGGGGTTTGAACCCAAGTTCTTTTGGAAGCCAAATGGGGAAGGTACCCCTTGGCAGTTGGTTATTTGGATTGGTGGCTTGGATTCAGACTTGAATGTGTGGTGCTTACAGAAGATGAATGACAAGCCACCCCCTAACTTTCAAACCAAACCACCAATTGGAGGCAAACTGCCTCAATGATCTGAAAGGGTCACGGGGTAGTTTGAATCCCATTAAGTCATGATCATAGCACCATCACAACATCTTGGTGATTGTTTGGCCCGTCGTATTATGCGATGCTTGTTGGCTTGAAGCATACCAAATCCATTCTCTCTTCGCTTTGGAATCAGGGCATATCGAGTTGTACCGAGCTTGCTTGTGGCCAGATGCGTTTTGAATACCCACAAGTCACAACTCGATTGCGTTTCCAGATGTTGATTCAGCCGTTGGCTGCCTCTTTCCCGTGCAAATCTTGTGTACCGCACTTTCATTCAAGCTGCTGCGTACGGGGCATGGAATTGAGCTTCTGCCTGCATCTTGGGGTGTCTGTTTTGAGGGTGACCCTTTTGGGAATGGCAGAATGGGAAATGATGAATAAGCCCCCGTGTAAACCACTGCTATATCACATCGCAAGCTTTACTTCCAAACCAGGATCCATTTCGCAAAAGACGGATTCCAACAATTGGACTTACGGGACACGTGGATAATAGCAATCAACCGAGTGATGCAACGGTTTTCGGGGGATCTTTCAGGAGAAGCGTGCCATCATGGCGATGCTGCAGGGGTCACAACGACGCCAGGCCAGCAGTTCGTTCCCAGGCACCAGGTGGTTTCAATTCGGGTCTCATCCATGCCAACTGGTGCGTTTTGCGCATTTTGTCCCATCAGTATGGCTGAAACATAAATGGGGAACCCTGAGTTGGTTGCTGGCCCAAAGCCTGTAATTAAGGGTTGCTTGGCCGTCGAGCGGACGTCCCATTTGCTTGGCCGGGTTCAAAAGCCGCCTTTGACCGTGGGGACGCATTTTCGCTAGGGTGCGCTGGACTACTACGACATTGCCCAGCTAGTTCCCAGGATGTGGGAGGCGCGAATGCAGCCACTGTTCCTAACGTCAAGCTGCTTGTCGTTTCTTTTTGATTGGAGGGTGGCCTGAACATTTTGCAAGAAGCCTTGCCTGCAAGCAGGGCCCCTGGAACATTTTTGGTCAAATGAGAGCTTGCGCTCTTCTTTGCTTGGTTAATTCTAGGGGTTGATTCCCCATTCTTTTCAACCATCGTTCTTTTCAAAAACCGGCTGTTTCCCGTGTGTTTTGATGGTTTCCTGAAAAGAAGGATCCCCGGAAAGAATGGGGAAGGTACCCCTAGATTAAGGATGTGTTGAAGGCCGGTGGGGGGACAACGAAGTCGCCGACCTGGACGACTGCAGCAAAGAACACAATGCCAACCCCGGTGCTTCTAGCTTAGCACACTGGTCCTTTTCCTGCTGTGTTTGACCTGTGCATTTTGTAAATCACGGCGCCCAACGCAGCATGCAATGCATGCCATGTTGGCCACCAATTTGCTTCCCCGCAGGCCATCGCACTGGCGAAGCGTCAGGCTTGGGTTGCGGTGTGCAGTGCGTCAATTGTGCGCAGGGCGAACAGAGAGTGTCAACCTGCAAACAGGGCATTGGCCCATTGGGTGGGCCTGACTTGGTTTGGGAGGGACTCCTTGCAGCTCAGCCGCCTGCAGCACCATTGGCGAGATGATTTGGTTCTTTAGGTGAGTCTGTCCTTTTGTGGGTTGGTACCCCTTTTTGGTGGTGTTAAAGGGAAACCAAACGGAAAACCATTTTGGAGGGTCCCTAAAGAAAGAAACACCCAGGTGGCTGAGAACTCTGCCATGCGAGGACTTGGAGTACTGGTTCAACCGCTCCTTGGACGAGCCGGCGCCCGAGCTGGATGGATTTGAAGCGTGCAGAAGTGAGTGCCATGTTGGCTGGGTGTGTCTAGTTTGTGAACACACGTGCCATGGGTCTTTCCATGGTAACGGGTATATTGAATGTGCATATGTATGCACATATATATACACATTTATTTATGTATGTATTTATTTATTTATTTATTTATTTATTTATTTGTTTATGCGAAGCCTATTTCTTCGTCCGGGGGCATCAGCCGGAAGTTGAAGCACATTGCTCGAGCTCGTTACCCATTGAGATACGCAGGGCATCACTCACACCGCAGGATTACAGAGTTTCTCCACCGAACAAAAATAGATGGCACAAATCCCGTATAGCTGCGCGTTTAGCACCAGCTCCGCCCCGAATGCCAGTGGCCCGTAGGAATAGGGCTCACAGTGGTGAGTTGTCCTCCATTGAAGAAGGTTAAAGAAAAATTAAGAAAGACGTTTTTTTTTTTTTTCAACATGACAAGGGCACCTTTCACGTCCAAAAAGGAAAGGCTCGCCTGCCCATTTCTGGTCGATGGCGCACTACGCGGCGCTGAAGCTGCCCAGCACAGCCTCCTCTGCGGAGATTCGGAAGGCGATTCGGATGGTTCTGAGGCGGTTTGTCAACCAATATGCGTACCGTGGGTCCCACGTACTCCTGCACTTAGGATAGATGAACCCCGATAAAAAATGGAACAAACCACCAAGTCACTGGTGCAGCCACAGTAAGGGGGTGTCTTTGTTTGAGTTGGTATTTTTTTTTTGTGGCTTTCAAGGCAAGCCAAAAGGAACACCCGCCAAGTTTTTGGTGGTTCATCGCAGTAATTGTTGGGTTTTCCTCCATCCCAACTGGTGCGTTTTGTTCGAATTTTGTAACCATCCATAGCATGATTATGAGTCTTTAAAGCAGACAACCCCCGCTTTCCTTTAAGCAAGAGGACATCAATCCCAGCCCCAAATCAACTTCCAAGCCCGCTGGCAGATCTGAGAGAACCGCAAAACAAAGCGCACCTGGGGTACAAGCTCCATGTGGAGGATTTCTCACATTTATGGACCCATGAACTACGCGAGCCCAGCATCCCACTCGGGTCGATTCATCCGCCATCATTCGCGTCATTGCATTCCTGTGTTGCAGGATTGATGTGGGGCAGTGTGCGCCGGTCTGCCATTCTACTTCTCTGGTGTCAGGTTGAAAAACAACGCTTGAAAGCAACTGAACATGGAGCAACCACTCTTGCCCTGTGCTACTCAACAACGGTCAAAGGCGCGTTTGCCAGCAATCTATGCTTCTCGAACCACAGCGCGAGTTGTCTGGGAGACACGTGTGTGTGTGTGTGTGTGGTGTGTTGTGTTGTGTTGCGTTGCGTTGCGTTGCGTTGTGTTGTGTCCATCTGTGTTGTGTTGTGTTGTGTTGTGTTGTGTTGTTTTGTGTTGTGTTGAGTTGTGTTGTGTTGCGTGCGTGTCTGTGTCTGTGTCTGTGTCTGTGTCTGTGTCTGTGTCTGTGTCTGTGTCTGTGTCTGTGTCTGTGTCTGTGTCTGTGTGTGTGTATTTGTATGCAGTACAAACCACCTGCAGAACCAGGTTTGTCAAAATCCGTGGAATTCATGCACGCCAGCAGTGAACGGGTTTGCGGCGGTTGCCCCAGACCAGGTGGCTTTCAGCTACGTTTGTCGTGAACGGCGTTACTGACCTATCGGTTCACAGCAGACATCAGTGGACGCATTCGCCTGACGCACAGAGGTTTGCGGCGGTTGCCCCAGACCAAGAAGCTTTCAGCTACGTTCGTGTATGTACCCCGATTTGTCAAATCCGTGCAATTCGTGCATGCCGGCAGGGGGCAGCCGGAAGAGTATGTGGGCGGCTGCCAACGAAGACCCCACATACTTTTCGTGAAACGTACCTGCCTGAGAGCTGCTCCTGGGTCCCGTCGCGGGCAGCTGGAGGGCTCACCCCTAACAATCGCCCTTAAGGCCACTGACTTTGCACGGTTCAGTGCTAACTTGCAACATTTCATCTCATGTTTACGTGTTTGAACGTTTGGTGTTTGACTGCCGACGTGGCATTCCCAGTGTGTGTGTCTGTGTGTGTGTGTGTTTCTTGTTTTGAGGGTAGTTACCATGTTCAGGTTGGTTCAACGGGACGCCTCCTTTTTTCGTCCCCTTTATAGCCAAGTCCGTCCCAGAGCGCGAGAAACCGGGGCACTTTGTCCCTGATTGACCTACTCCACACGATTCCAAAGTCTCAGTCAAGTGTCAATTTGTTGCTGCGTCAGCTGTATCTGTGCGCAAAAACGCAATCGGCATTCAGGGCGGAGAAGAGCCATCCGCGTGAAGTAACACCAGCGAAGTTCACATGTGCATAGGCAGAAGATAGGAAAGTCATGGCGATGTCCAATCACCGCCACACATGTGTGTAGGGGAACAAACAGCACCATCCATGAAGGCCGGCTTTGCGCCGAGCAAAAACAGAGCGTATTTGTTGCACGTACGAAACTCCAAGCATATGAACCAGCTGAGCCTTGTTCACAAACTGGATGCATTCCAACAATCGGTTCCGAAGTGAGCGCAGTCAAGCTGATCGAAGGTAGCGTCTGGCGGCAGGCAACAAACAAGCGCAGGACATGAACGCCCCATTTTGAGAGACCAACCCCCAACTTGTTGAACACCAACCATGGTTTTGAGAACACGACATATATATATATAGATACATAATATAGATACATACACATCATACAATATATAAAATCAATAAAACAAAAAGCAGACGCATGGGAGGCCTACCTGGCCCTGGCGCAGCAGCTGCACCCGGACCGGGGCGGGCGCCTTGCAAGCTTCCAGGAGGTCCAAGAGGCACCGGAACCACCCCCCCCACCAAACCGCCCAACCTTTGGTGCCAGGTTTTATGTTTTTTTGAGTGGTTTCTCATGGTTTCTCAATTTTCTTGGGGGTTTCTCAAAAGTGGCAACAGCTGAAAGCTTTGGGGTCTCAGCCCAGATAGGCTCCGGGGTGGTCCGGGGCGGCCCTGAGGTAAGGTTTCATGAGGGTTCCACGAGGGTTCCACGAGGGTTCCACGAGGGTTCCACCAGGGTTGCACCAGGGTTCCACCAGGGTTCCACCAGGGTTCCACGAACGAGGGTTCCCACAAGGTTCTGCAAGGGCTGCGGGGTGGTGCGAGCACTAACAAGAGCACCGCATGCTGTTGGGGATATCACCTGAGCTTTTCTTTTGGGGGGGGTTCTCAAAAACGGTGCATGTGGGTTTGTCTCATTTTTGGGGAAGCCTCAAAATGGGTGGCCCGGGGGGGGGGTCTAAAAAGGAAAGAGGTGCCTGCGATGGTTAATTAGCAATAGCAATAGGTACGTGCGCTTTCAAAGGGAAAACCATCATTTTGGGGGGTCCCCCTACTTTTGGGGGAAGCCCGAAACAAATCCCGTACAAAAGCCCGTTGGGGCGATTTCCCTGCCAGATTGTCCCATGTCCTCTTGGGGAAGCTGGTCATTTGGACCCCGTTTCAGGCGTACCATGTGCTGGGAGACCCCGAGCGGCGCCGCATCTACGATGCAGAGCTGCGAGGCCTCAGCTGAGATGAAACGATGTTCAACCCACTTAAAAGGTTATAAGCTACAACCACATACGCGACAATTAAGCATGGAACACACACGGGGGGTTCCATTTCCCAAATGGAGCTGCCGCGACAAAAGGGGGTTCCTTTTGTTGTTGGTTTCATGTCAATCTGTAGAGGAGTAAATGGGACTGGGATTAGTTCCCTTATCACTTATCACAATGACTATGACCTTGTTGCCAAGTCGGTTGAACATGCAAGATTTCATGGAAGCCAGGTGCCCCTTTCAGTCCAAAGGTCCGTGTCATCTTGCGGTTCAGGGCTTGTCAAAAGAGAATTCATAGAACCAATCGGGCCTTCATTGACCACAGGTTTTAACCATGCAGAGCAACTCTGAGGCAAGTGCCTTGAGCGTTTTCTTGCAGACCCACCGAACAGCGGAGAATGTTTGTCCACTGGATTGTACGTCACCTGTGCCAGAAGATGGTCAAGGCGCCAACCCAACTTGCGTGATCCTGTCCACAGAGAAGATTTGATGAGCAGCAAGAAGGAAAATTGAACTCCGTGTCAGCTCGAATGGGGATCACTCTCGAAGCATTTGGCTAGTATGTATGTCTACGCAGCTAGTGTTGAGGGCTGACACGGAACTCTGCATGCAAGAGCATGCTGCTTTCATTCAGGCCAGCAAGAGCAACGCGAGCAACGAGAGGAACGTCAGTCCTCAAGAGGCGCCGCGCTCTGCTACTTGCCGCTGTTATGGACCTCCAAAGGGTGGCTTCTTGGAAGGGGAAATTTATCGCCTAATTCCCCTTAAGAAGGCCTCATGAAGGGCTCACATCCTTGGCACATCCTGCGCTTAATCAGGGGACAACTCCCTTACATTCCCATTATCGGAGAGGAGCGCCGCCGTACTCTCCTTTTGGAATGCAGGTTGTTTTCATTCTTTCGCTGGCACTTTAGCTGGAAGCATCAAAGGGCATCCATATTCGAACTGGGATTCATATTTGCAGGAAGAGCAAACATATTCAGATTGAAGACCCTTCTTTGACTCCCACAAATCTGAAAGGCCTGCAATACAGTGAGACCGACGGACAGATGCAATCCCGAGATTTGAAGACTCCCATCCTGGAGTCTTTAAGATGCCATTGGCCTTTCGATGCGAAGCAGGGACCATCAAAATGGCATGGATGCTGCAAGGAATCTGAGATTTTGAGGATGTGCAGCCTTGCGAGAGAGCGAGGCCGTGGTTCCAGCTTGTCTCAAGCCCTGCGAAATGGAGGAAAAGTTCCCCGAAAGACCCAAGCTTGACGTGCCAGGAGCAAAAAGCGCAGCGCGTGCCAGCTCCAGCTCCACGCACTCAGGCGACTGGCTCCTATACCCTTGTCAGCAAAAGTGTTAGTTGGAGCTCAAGTATCCCGGAGCGGCTTGCCCGCCAGAGCCAGTTGTGCAACAGCGCCTTGTTGCTGTTTCAATCGGACGGTACATCACTTGGTTTGAACTTAGCTGCTTGACCCCTCGACGGCTTGCAGCTTGCAAGTCCGGCTCGGGGCCGTTGGAGAGACATTGCCAGGTGCGCACCAGTGGGTGAAGAAGGGCCAGCGGGAGGCCGGAGACGAGTGGTGCGCGTTTTGTGTGGGAAATTTGGGCAAAGTGGCCAGGTCTTGGCGCAAGGCATGCGACGACTTGCTCACAATTCTTGTGCCATTTGCATCGGCGAGATGTTCTCGTCCAGGCATCAGTTTGAGGTAAGACCCCGGATGGGTGGAAGCTAAGTCGATGCCCCGATGGGTACAAGGCGTTGCTCCCAGCGCATCGAAGCTTCTCCCTCACCATCCACTTCTCCGCCAGGCACTGCGATGGTACCGCATGCCGCTGCCCGAATTCCTTTGGCGCGTGCATGGCGCGTGGCAGCGGCAAAGCGGCCGTGAAGAGGCGACATGTCAGTCCACCCGAGCTTTTTCGGTATTCAGCACGATCTCTTTCGGATTGACCCGTCGAGTTGCCGCAGTCAACGCTTGTCTTAGGTTCTTCTCCGCGCCTGCCAATGTGGCCATGGTTCAAAACCCATGGTACCATCTTGGGATAGGTGCAATGGCGGGTGGTTTTGAGCCGTGGCCATGGTGGCCCTTCAGGCGCCGCTGGATGTCTTCACGCAGAGCTTGCGGCAAAGATACCGCAGCCTGGCCAGCGGGAGGCTGCTGCTCCGCACGGCCGGGGCCTTGGGGCGGAAGGCTTCGATGCACTTGCCGGGGGTTTGTTTACTATATGGCCATGGGGCATAACCTATGGCTCCATTTTGGGGGTGAATGAACATCCATTCGCCACTTATTTTGATGTTCACCAGGAAAACAGGGTTTTGACCCACCGCCATATGTCCTAAGCCATCCTTGTATTGCAACTCGTCACACTTGCCGTAGATGAGTCAGTGTTGCTGTATACAGCTGCCTAGGTCGCTGCAGTCATAAATCGACAGGACAGTGAAGGCTGAATCTGATCAGCTTCAAGCTCAAACATGCAGCATTGTTCATTCGGGTTGATGTTTCGTTTAGAGAAACCAAGAGACACATGAGCAATTTGAGGCCTCCGATTCTTGAGAATGCTTTGAAGGGACACCAACACCCTATTTGTAACACCATTGGTTCCCCTTCAAACCAAGGGGGGTCCATTTTGTTTTTTCGGGTGGTGGGGGGGGGGGGCCTATTTTGAGAACCCCGCCCACTCGCTTCGAAGGATTCCGTTTCCCAGGCCGCTCACAGCCTGGACTCAGCGGCCAACTTGCTGGCTCGGCTGCGCCGGCATTTGGAGAGGCCGGCTCAGCTGAAACCCGCAGGTGTGCGGTACTTTGTGGGAAATCTTCGACCAAAGGGAAAGCACTTTTGAGGGATCCCCCAATTTGAGTGTGGGCGGCTATATGAGGGCCCCTGTTTTGCTGCTTTTTTCCCCGCGAGCTTTTGACCTTCTAGAGAACGATGGTGTGCATGTGTGTGACCTAGTACTGAAGGAGCATTTTTTTGGTTCAGAGGATGCTTGACATGGATACAGCAAATTCTACGGGCTGACTCCAAGAACTCTTCCAGGCAACATCATTCAAAGTTAAAAGGTGCATTGACCAACAAGACCTGAATCAGGAATTAAGCTTGTCAGTCATGCCTGAGCTTTGAACCACGGCTTGTCAAATGGATTGCGCTTGCCTGCCTTTCCAAATTTTGACTGCCAGCAGTTTTCTGGACATTTCTGGGGAGAGAGTGCTCCTATCATCCCAGTTGACAGACTAGCCGGATGGGTTGACAGATCTTGGTGGGGAGTTCCCCACCAGCCCAGCTCAAATGACTCCACCAACCATAGGCCACTATTTCTATCTGTCAGAAACTCGTTCTGGATCATCAGAAACATTTGCTGGAACCATTTTTTTTGGATTTCCTCCTTGCATGCTTGTAGCTCACAAGGGGTTAGTGCAATGACGGCCGGATCCCCCACTTCCTTGTGAGAAAAATGGACTGACCATAGGCTACCAAGCTGCTACCTGAGCCTTGAGGGTGGAACCTTTCCATTGGTGGGTTGCTGGTAGCCCATACGGGGGCTGGAAACGACTGCGCATTGGCCTATGGCACATTGGCCAAGCCAATGGCACATGTAGCTGTATGTCAAAGCAACGTACACGATTATATTCTATCCTGCTCTACCCAACTCATTTTCCACAGGGAGTGTGATGTCACAAGACAAGCCGTGAGAGTCCTACACGCAACTGGGCCCACAAGCAAAATGCATAGAATATCTTGTTCTAGAGCTCCTTGTTGCCACAGGTGCTAATCAAAGGTGAAGGCAACGCAGAAATCAATGTCGGTGCTCGTTGCAGAGATTATTGTGGCTAACTCTGCCTCTAGCAACCGCTTCTAATCCTGCATCGCTGGCTACGATGGTGCTATTCGTGCAAATGCTCAAGCAGCAAATGCTAGATGAGCGTATGAGCTACTAAGATTCATAGCTCCATTCATAAATGTAGTGACCCATTAAATTCAATCCTAAGCAACTGAAGTTGTCCACGCAAATCCTGAAACTTTGCAAATAGGGGCTAGGGACAAGTAGGGGGAACATGAACTAAAGGAGTTCCAAATCCTAGCCCACATATTGGGTTTTCAGTGGTCCTGGGCTGAGTATGGTGGGTCTGGAGGGGGGCGAAGTCAATTTCAAATTTGAAAATGTGTGTGTGTTCCGCCTCCCCCCCCCTGAAGAGCTGAGTGCAAAGCAACAAATGCTGAGGGACGCTCTGAAGAAAGGCTTCAATCAAAGGTTTCTGTGACAAACCTTCATGGAAAATAATGCAACCCAACAAGCAGCACCTTCATATTACAAAATATGAATTCCCTCATAGCCGCCCTTTCTGCCAATTTTCGGTATTAGTGCCATTTTCACATTGATCCCCCTAGTTTGACGCATGCCCGTGCCAGAAAAAGGGCTTTCAAGTTGCTGGCTTTCCCCATGCTTTCTGTTTGGATTCTCTTACCGCCGAAAAAGGATGCGATCAAAAAAGCTACCGCTTTGGGTTTTTGGCCCTCAGCTCCTTGAGGTGCCTAGAGGTGCCTTAGCTGAGGCCCAGGGCCAGGGCCGGGGCTTGGCGCCCGGTGTCCTTCGCGGCCGCGGACGCCGCGCCGCTGCGGCGCTTGCTGCGGCAGGGCCGGCCCAGGGCGCGCCTGGAGCTGCGGCGAGCGCTGGGGGCGCTGCGGCTGCCCCCGGTTGGGGCCCTGCGGCCGCCGGGAAGCCTGGAAACTCGCCGTATGAATTGACATGGGGGGTATACCATGGGCAGCTGGTGGACAGAACTCCCACGTCAAATATGTGCGCCAAAGGGTCCCGAATCGAAATCCTCAATCAAGAACTAATTCTGTCCGAAAAAAGCTGTCGTAAGTGCGATGAGTCACACCCCACAGTTCAATCATGTGATCTTCTGACCGCAATGGCTGGGTATCATACAAACCACATTTGCTCGGAGCCAACTTGTCGTATCTCCCAATCTCGTGCCTTCAGAGCTTGCTCCGTGAGGGATACCACCTGTTGTTTGGTGTTTTTTGAGTAGCCTGAAACTCAGCTGTGTGGCACGCTTGGAATCCTTATTTGGTTTGGTGGGTTCGGAACCCAACAGGTAACTGCGCCTTAAAAATAAAAGGGCTCCAAGTCTTTTTCCGACGTTCGGTTGCCGTTCCGATTGCCGCCGAAAGACGCGTCTTGGCAACTCTGAGGCCCGTCAAAGGGAAGGCGGCGATGGTACTGGCGGGGGCTTTGGCCGTGAGCGGCGGCAGCAGCCTCTGGCTGGCAGCCTGCCGAAAGGAGGCGCCGCGGGTTGGGGGACCCGCCGGACTCCACGGGTTCCTTCGGGTTCCGATCGTTTGCACCAAAGGACAAACGGGAGCAAAATACTAACAATGTACTCATACCGTGACCGTATAAAAAGACAGATTATGCACAAATGCCAACTAAAAACACTGAATGTGTGTAGCATTCGACGCGAAAGGAGCGCATTTGGTGGAACCAAGGCAGGTTCACCCAGCCGTTGAACAACTAATTGAAATTGATGATTCCCAGAGCAGGCGGTGCCCAATTTGTCCAGAGGGCTCGGGGCGTGATTCTTGCTGATCAAGATGCTCGTAGCAGTTTTTACTCGTTGTGATCATTGGGTTTTGGCTGATGCCTCGCAATTGAGAACAATGCAGGACTGCAGCACTCTCACAGAACGTCAACTTATGCATGCATTGCATATTTCAGTTATGTCCTTCGGATCAAGCAAATGGTATACAAGCACGTGATTCATTTGTAGTGAAACTTGGCTTGTCCTTCCTTGCCAACCAGGTGCCTTCCCAAAGTACAGTAGACTTCAAGCTGCTACTGTATGGCTGCAGTCACAGGCTGAAGCACGTTGCATCACGACCAAGCCGAAGGTTCGCTTTGACAACATGGCGTTGACTTGGAAACCACAGCGCTTACAGTTCGAGCAGTGAGCCAACAGAGTGGCTAACACCAGGGCGCTCCACAAGTCTCATCCCCAGATCGCTTGTTTTGTTTTGTCCTCCCAGATTCCAAGGAGTTGAAGTTTGATTCCACTTAGGTTTGGTTTCGTTTGGCTCGTGTCAGCCCGTTGCTACTTCCAAATTACAGCTGCCGCACGGCGCGTGCGGCCGCCCGCCCGCATGGCGAGCGGAGTGGAGGGCGTGGAGATCCAGGCGGGATTCGGCCCCGCCGCCTGGCAACTCGTTGCAAGCTTGTTCCCAGGTATTATGACTTCCTGTTTGCCATTGGGGGTGTTTGCAAATTTGGGAGCAGGTAGTGCAGAACCAGTCGGGAGCGCCTGGGACTTCAACTACCTCTCATGCCTTTGAGTTCGCCTAGCCAGGAGCTGGTTTTGCCGGAGGTGTCGGTCTACAAGGCGGACGCAGGGAAGCAGAAGTGAAAGGAGCCGCTGAAAAGCACCTGCCATTCAGACTAGGGTCCATGGCGAGATCTACGGGTTCAGTCCCAAGCACCTGTTGGGAGATGAAAGTAATGCTTCTACTGAATCCCGTGGTGCTGCGAATGGTGCATGCCTGGTCATTCCCTCCAAAGTGGAATGCAGATACGCCCAACGCTGCAATCGGATCCAATCATTAATTGGACACCCTTGCACGGCAGGTGCTGGTGCTGATTCCATCCGGATCCTGCATTCATCGCGATTTCTCCCCTTGGCAGCGCACATATTCCAAGAGCAAGTAGGAGACTGAGTCCAGCTTTGCCAGGTCTTGGGCTGCGAGTCCACGCTAGCCGAGTACAACGACCATAGTTCGAGGTGCGGCCAGTTAGAAAGTCGTCCGATTTGACATGCTTCTAGAAAGAGTCGGAAGATGGTGGGACGTCCTCAAAGCGTGCTGCTGCTGCTGCTGCTGCTGCTGCTGCTGCTGCTGCTGCTGCTGCTGCTGCTGCTGCTGCTGCTGCTGCTGCTGCTGCTGCTGCCGGTGTGTGTGTGTGTGTGGGTGGGTGTACTGCGTGTGCGTGTGCGTGTGCGTGTGCGCGCGCGCTTGAATCCTTCTGTTTCATAACATGAAGGCCAGGCACAGGTTTGCTTCTCACGGCGCAGACCCGACGCACCTGTGTGTGTGTGTGTGTGTGTGTGTGTGTGTGTGTGTCTGTCTGTTTGTCTGTCTGTCTGTCTGTCTGTCTGTCTGTCTGTCTGTCTGTCTGTCTGTCTGTCTGTCTGTCTGTCTGTCTGTCTGTCTGTCTGTCTGTCTGTCTGTCTGTCTGTCTGTCTGTCTGTCTGTCTGTCTGTCTGTCTGTCTGTCTGTCTGTCTGTCTGTCTGTCTGTCTGTCTGTCTGTCTGTCTGTCTGTCTGTCTGTCTGTCTGTCTGTCTGTCTGTCTGTCTGTCTGTCTGTCTGTCTGTCTGTCTGTCTGTCTGTCTGTCTGTCTGTCTGTCTGTCTGTCTGTCTGTCTGTCTGTCTGTCTGTCTGTCTGTCTGTCTGTCTGTCTGTCTGTCTGTCTGTCTGTCTGTCTGTCTGTCTGTCTGTCTGTCTGTCTGTCTGTCTGTCTGTCTGTCTGTCTGTCTGTCTGTGTGTGTGTGTGTGTGTCTCTGTGTGTGTGCGACGCGGCTTTGTTTTTGTATGCGGTGAATGAAAGCACCGAGTGCTCGCGATCACGCGAATGTGTGATCCGAGAAAAGATAACCTGTCTCAACATCTTTGAGCACAACCTGTATCAGCTATGCTTGTTTTTGGGGGCGCCTTTGGGCAGTGGTTGTGCTGTTCTTTTGCTTGTTTCTTGGAGACCGTCACCTCTAAAACACGTCAACAAGCGCCTAGGCCTCCAGCCCGTGTCGTGTGACCTTGTGCTCTGGCGCAGGTTTGGCAACCCCAGGAGCGACTGGAAAGCCATGTGCGCGCCCGATCCAGCCGGAATTTTGTAAATTTGTCGGGCTCGGGATGCGGAGGCTCTTGAATGGCGCAACGATAGCCACAAGCTGGTTCACTGACCCCAGTGCGAATCATTCCGTGAATCTTCGCGACTGGTAGAAGGCTTGCCCCAACCGCTCTTTCGAGCTGGTGAGATGCACTGCTCTGAGTCTGGCCAGTGGGGTGTGCAGCAATTCAAACAGCATCCGTTCGTTCGGCTGACCATTTCCGGTTTGCATTTTCTAGCATAATCCATCTCAGCTTTGAGTTGGTGCGAGCTCTGTACTCAAGCAGGGCACTTGATTCAGGTTCACTGCATTTGTTTCAGGACGCCGCTAAGCCGGCTTGGCACAGTTGTGTCATGGAAGCAAGGTGACCGCAAAGCAGTTCTTGGTGGTGCAGCTTTGGTCGAGGGCTGTCCCAGCAGAGGCAGATGCGGTTTTGTCGGAGCTTGGACCGTTGCCAATGATTGCAACATGCTATTTTGGAACCACGAGGGTGATGCAGGTTTTCGCCTGCCCTGTTTTGGCTCTTTGAGGGTCAGCCATATTCAATATGGGTGTTCTTTTTTTGCCCCCCGCCCCCCAACAAAAAAGTGTTCCTTCTGGTTTCCCTTTAAAGCCACCAAACAAGTACCCTCAAAAAGGCGAGCCACCCACATTGAGCTGCAGCTCGGAAAGCGAAGCTGTTCTTCGAGTTGCACTTGGACCGAGGAAATCCATGAAACTGAAGGTGAGTCCCCTTTTTGATGGGTGAAGGGAAACTGCAAGGACACCGCCCCTTTTTTGGGGGACTCCCTTCTCTGGTGGTTGTAAACGGACCCCCTTTTCTGGTGGTTGTAAAGGGAAACCGAAAGGACCACCGAAGGGTTTAGTTTCGAGGTACACACAGCTCATGGCGAGCCACGCATTGGGCACTGTGCCGTACCGCTGGGACCAGATGGACAGCCAGGGCTCGCCCTACCGATGTGCCAACCTGGTGCAGGCAAGGCGAACCGGTGAGGTTTGCATCGGACCATCAAGGCACCTTGCCCCCTCCCCCCCGTAAGGCTTTTCTTGCTGGTGCTCTGTAGGGACTGAGGGATTGAACCCAGGGATTCCCTCAGAGGAAACCACAAGTGGTGGTTCATGGGGGCCATTCCCCTTCCCTTCTGAGCACCAGGAAGTGTTTTTTCGGATCAATCCGCAGGACCCTACTAGTTTAGAGGACCCCCCTAAAAAGTCGGCCTCATTTCCTTACCTCCGCGGATTAACCTGACACTACATTTTCCCTTGTACAAAGGGCATCATGTACGAGGGGGAGCTGGATCTTTTCTCAGTTGGGCGGTGAAACAATGAGGCGCTGAGATGCACTACCCCTTTTCTCTGCCTGAAAAGGAATTCATCATGAACATCGCTCAGGAAGTCACCCTGGTCTCCCAAATTTTGGAAGATCTCCTCAAGGACTCCCCAAGCCCTCCCAAGTTCGTTCTTTTTGGCCCCCAAGGTCAAGTGGGGCAGAAAAAGGGGGTGTAGGCCTCGCAAAAGTCAAAGATCCCGGCTCGTCAGGTGTGCTTCCTCGAGCCGCTGCCGGTGGTGCGCTGCTCTGGTCCCTTCTTCTGGGATGGCTCGGTTCCTGGCGAGGAGAAGGCGATGCGGTGAGGTCCTTCAAGCTGCACTTGGGGGGCATTTCGCATTTGTTTTTCTTCGCCGAAGGTGAAGGCTTCAAGTGTTTGGTTTGTTTTCGCTAGTTTTTTGGGCAGGGGGGGTGGTAGGCCTTTCTGGCTGCAGCATCGTGCACCAATATGATTGTCTTGAGGGATGTCAGGTTTGAAGCAACCTGTTTTTCCAGAGCCAAAAACAAAAAGTTGACGTTGGACTCTGGGTTGTTTTGGTGTATTCGCTCCCTTCTCAGACCAATGGCCCAGGCAGTTGGCCCATCCCCCGCCCTCAGCCCCTCGCCCAGCCCCTCGGGCAGGCAGCGCGTGTCAGGCGGCGGTGCTGCGTTCTGCGCTGGGCTTGTCGAAGGAGCCGCTGATGGCACAGCTGGGCCTCGCCCAGAAGGCGGTGCTCATGGAAGAGACGGAGGCGCGGTCACTCGGTCACTCGGTCACTCGCTGTGATTTTTCGCGCCTCGCCCCAAGCTGTGATGGTGATTTGGGGTTCGTTGAATTGGTTTAGTCTGTGTGTTTAGTCATGAGCATTTGGCCTTCCAATGGTTGACTTCATTGCTGATTTTGCGGCTTCGAATCCGTGTTTGCAGCCGCTTTAGCAGAGCCCATCCATTAGAACCTGAAACAACTTTGGGATGATGCCAAGGCACTGCAGAAGTGAGTTTCTGATGAGATGGGAAGGATGTTCAGCTACAGAGCCTTGAGGTCACGTTTCTGAGCCTTGAAACTTACCCAACGAGCAGTGCTTGAATTGGCTGCGCGCGCTTCTCAGATGCATTCGCCTCAGGGTGAGTGGGAGCTGATCCTGGATCATCGACATCTTGCGGCATTGCCACATGAGTCTTGCTTGGCTTCTTGGCGGCAACAACAAGCCAGAAGTTCTTTGCGGTTCATATCGGCTTTCAAATAGCGGGAAATGGACACTTGGAGAAACCGGCTCTTTTGTCATTGATGGACATCCTTTTATTGCTGCGCCGCATGTTGCATCTTATTCAAATTGCTTGCTGTGTCATGTGGTTGCAGATCATCGTTGCAGCAAGCAATGAGGCCAGCCAGGTTTGCCCTCAAGCTTTGGATTTCTTGTTTGCGCTAGCGAAACCGGCAAGGATTGTGGCAGGGCACGGAGAGAGTCAGCATGAATCGTTCAAAGCCTTCGCATGGATACGCAGCAGCTAGTTTCTGGCTAATTTTTTGAACCAAGCCAACAGCATGGCTTGATTACTAACAATAACAAGAAGGCAGCTGTGCACCAACGGGGACTTTTCAGGTTTTCTGACGGTTTCAGGATGGGGCAGCCTTGCCTCTACTCTCAAAGGATCACAGAGTTTCAAGCTGTTTGCCGATCTCTTCAAAGACTTTCTCTAGCTGAATCTGGAAAAACTCGAGGGCTCTGCCAGAAGTCGGTTTCTAATTCTGTTTCTGCTTGTTGGAGTCTTGCACATTCGCCCAACAGCTTGGGGCCTGGTGATCTCTTCACATGACCTTGCTACGGTCTGGTCCGGTCACGCACGGTTTGGCATAAGTCAAAGCGGATAACTTAGCGACACCACTGCGATGCCTCAAAGGGACCTGAGTTCCAGTGCTCAAGCTGTCAAACGCCACTAGCTCGTTAGCTTGCTTGTCTCACTTTGGACCCCCAAACTGGGTTTCCATTTGGTTCCCCTTGTAGTCTCTGCCTCAATTCGGTGGACAAAAAGGACACACACTCCTCGGGCGAGTGAGCCTGCCAATGTCTTAGGTGGCGACTTTTCAGCGCGGCGCCTTGCCAGTGACTGCCACCTTTGCGAGCCGCGACGGAGAGCGGCAGAAGTATGCGGCTCGGCGTTTGACTCGCTCCCTGAGTTCCGTTTCGGACTGTTGGCACTTTTTGGGGCGTTTGCACCTTTGTCGCAAACAATTAGTTGAAGAGGGAAAGTCACTTGCTAGCCTCCAAATCTCGAAACCACACTAACAAAAAGTTTAGACTGTTTGCGGCCAATCCACTCAGGAAGTGGGTTGATTTTGGCGAGGGGGACGGTCATGGAGCTGAAACGACGCTTTGCCATTCACGTATGATGCAGTGTGGAAAACATTGTGGTGGCATTTCACATCAACCCTTCAGCAAGACAGTGGTGTGCTTTAAAGCATGAGTTGGATCTACAGAACAGCACGGATGAATGGGTGAATGTGGTCTACTGGCCGCTTCTAGTGCTTGCACTGTTCGGAGTAGCTGGGCATCTATATACATCATTTGAGTGTATTTTCAGGTCTGATTGTTTGCAGCACCCTAGCGCTATGTGTGGTTGGTTCTCATGCTGTCATGCTTTGCAAAGGCACTGTACGCAAACACACGACGAGCATGCATGAGGTCAAGGCTTCATATTGCACAATATGTAGACATATTTTGAGGAGCGCCGCAGCTTTTTGCTCCTGCAATTTCCCGCAGTGCTTCCAAACATGGGGGATTCAGGATTCCTCGACATGGTTTCAAAATTTGTGCTGCCCTCTACTCCGACTGCTGTAAGCAGGTACAAGTATATGCAAGCAAGCATTATCAGTTGTGAAGGATGCTCAGGAAAATCACGGATGCATATCAAGCTTCCTGGCTGTGGCAAATTTGGCAGATCCATTTGTTCTACTTTAGCCTCGCACCTTTTCTTTGAGGCCAAGCTGGGCGTGGGTGAACCTGGATCAAATGTGCGGGCAACTGACAAGCCATTGGGCCCACGACCAAACTAGGGCTATCCAGCCGTGCGATCGCTGGTTCTTAGGTGAGCGACGAGCGAGTGCTGTGCCAGCTTGGCTTGGGTGAACCCAGTCCGGAAGTCGGGACGGGCGCGACGAAAAGTGCTTGGCGTCAAGAGAGAGAGGCTTTCGGGCCAGAAACTTGGGAGCAGAGAGCATGTTTCATTGCAATTTTAACTGGGTGTTTAGGGGGCTGTCCTGCAAGCTCTTGGGAAGGATCTATGCAAGGTTGGCAGTGTTTCGAGCAGCAAGGGGCTGGTTTCTCGAATTCTGGAAACGGACGGAGCGAATCCACGCATTGACCGACTTGTTTGCCTCGCACTCCCCCACCGGGGAACGCTGTTTTTAGTCCTTGTTCCATTTACCAGGGTTCCACCTATGTTTGACCCACAGCCACAGAATTTCATCTCATCCCAATCAAGCCCAAGGCGGTTGCTTTTTCGGGAGTGGCTCTAACTTCCCAGGCTTCCCCGGCCGCCTGATTCGCAGCTTTGCAGGCCGAGCCGAAAACGTTTCTTTCGCCCACGCCGCCGGCGCCCACGCCGGGTGTCAGCACCTGGGCTTGAACCAGTGGAGTTTGTATGGCCCGGGAAATTCCAATTGACCAGATCCACTCGTCAGGCGAAAATTTCAGCCAACAGCCAGCAGCACACATGAATTCATGAATCCAAGCCATATGCTTCTTCAAAGTCACTTGTGTGGAGTTCTTGCTGTGAGCGCTAAGGTTTGCTGCTTACTTTGCAGCCGATTGTGAAACCAGCACTGTTGCATTTCCAGCATCCCCAGCATCAACAGCCTTAGCAATGCATCCTGACCCATTCCCATCACAGAGCGCCGTCGTGTCAATCTTGCCAACACAAAAACATGACACTGAGCAGAGGGCAGAGTTTGATTCTCAATTTTGGACTCTAAGGCTGCTCGGGCACAGCTCACCGGTGCATGTGTCTGCCACAGCGCTTTTTTGCGTGAGGCCATTCGGGAGAAGTTGCCGCACGCTTCCAACCAAGGGTGTCTGTGGGTCATGGGGGGAACCTCAAACTGCTGGGTTTCACTTCGGCTCCTTTAGCCCTCCCGAGGGTTTCAACTCAAGCCGAGCGCCGAGAAAGACCCCCGTGTGCGCTGCCCAGGTTTCGTGGGGCTGCGGGAAGGTATCCACCTGTGACAGGCAGGCTCTCAGAGTCGAGGGCGTCCCATTTGAGCTGCGGATCTTGTCAAAAGCAGAGTGTGTTTGTGTTTCTGTGTGTACTGGTGCGTGCGTGTTCAAGGATACCCTTTGTATCCCTTTGAGGAATGAGTTCAAAAGGAAGACCAAAAGAGAACTTGCATTTTGTGCCCCCTTCTTGACACATACCCCAGTGAACGCTTGCCTGGCGTTACGGATAGTAGCTTGTGGACTGCATGTGATTGTTCAGCGTAAATGTTTGCGAACGAGCAGCTTGGTCATACAGGGTCGTAGCAAAGCGAAGATAACAGCTTTGATGCGATGGCTGCGGTTTGCAAATGCATATTGCCCAGAAGTCATTGCTAAACAATCGCACGTCGAATCTGCTTTCGCCGGCAAATTCACAAATCGCTGGGAGGGAAATGCTGGTGCAGAGAAAGGAAAAGAGGTGATAGAGCAGAGTGAAGAGGCTAGTTGGGCAAAGTGTGTTTGAGGAATCGGACCCAGGACCCCAAATAAGGGAACCCAACGATAAGGGAGCCAACAGGAGGTTGTTTTAAACAGGGTGGTCAAAACGTTAGCAAGGGTTTGGCCAAACCCTCTTGTGGCAGTATAGCCTCAGGCAGAGGCCCGGTGCTCGTCTTCGCAACCATGCTTTCTAGTCTGTCTCCCCTCGGCTTTCAGCTTTTTTTGTGACAAGCCTTGATGGTTGACTGATTTTCCTCGTCAGGTCTAGTGGAGGAAAGAGGAATCCTTTGTCCAGTCAAAGGTCCATTTTGGTGATGCGGGGGACTAAATTTTTCGCAGAATCCAGTTGACCCTGAAGTTTTCACAACAACTAGGAGAATCTCCAAATTCTCAGGGGGAAGACTCTCTAGCTTCCCACGTCCCATACGGAATTCGCATATCTTGTCCACTTTGTGCGCCTCTGGCCGCAGGCGCAGCGCAGCCAAAGAGCGCGCAAGCTTGTCGCCGACGCCGAAAAAGGTTGCGGTGCCGGCCGGCTGTTGCCGGTTGATCTTGACACAAAGACTTGCAAGTCCCCTGTGAGTTGATCCCTGAAATGCCCCACGGTCGCTGAGATGGGTTTGTGCCATAGGTACCCTTTCCCTCCGCTTGCTGAACACAGCTAGTTCTTCCCGTCCCGAGGAACAGTTGCTACGACGTGCAGAAGCTTCGGCCCTGCCTAGAGGCGGATCGGATGGGTCGAAGAGAGTTACAGCGAAGCCCAGATGGATCCCTCCTCCGGCCCTCCCTGTCCAGGAACGTATCAGTTGTCGACCCCGAATCGTCAGGTTCCATAGCAACGTGGACGGGAGGGAGTAAAACATTTAGACGACCTTGATCATTGAGGTTCCCCTGAAGTGAATGACCATGGCCAGATTCGGAGCTTTGACCAGGACACAGAATCACACATACTTGTTGTTTTGTTTGAAGCAATCGTTTCTTGGAATATTTTTCAGAGCTGGATCGCATTTTGTCCGTCTCACTTGACGCAACTGAATTGGATTGCGCCCATTTCTGCAAGG